GGGGGGAAGGCCCCTGATTGGGCCCCGGAGTCCCCACCCCCCCCAATTCTGGCTCTGCTCCCCTGCCACCGTAAGCATCTGCGGTGGCCAGCGCCGTCAGCAGCGTCCCCAGCAAAGCGCCCAGGATCCCCGGGAGCCCGTGGACGTTGTGAACCCCACACGCGTCCTGGGTTTTCAGCCTGGAGCACAGGATGGGCTGGGGAGAGCGTTAAGGAAAAACTGGGGTTCGGAGGGGGGGACATTTGCCTGGGGATGCTGTGCCACAGCTTGGTCATTGTAGATTTGGGAGCTTTGGGTTGGCAATGCACCCTCCCCCAAAAATGAGGGGTCCCCCTGCCCTGGGACCGGCATCCTCGGCTGTCCCGAGGCGACTCACCGTGAGGAATCTGAAGCCCAGGGGAGGGATCAGGCCGGCCAGAAACCCTGCGATGAGGGCCCCAAAGGGTGCCACCAGCATCTCCCCAGCCATACCCATCACAGCTGCGCCGGCCAAGGCGGCATCCTGGATCTGAACCTGATGGAGCAGGACATGGTCGGGGGAATGGGCTCCGTGAAGGACATCAGCACGAGGCTGGGGGAATTTGGGCTTCCTCGGGTATCAAACTGGGTCTTAACGAACCTAAGAAAGCTTAATGGGCATCCCTTTGGGTGCACTCATGCTTGCCGTCCCTGTAGGATGGGACGTGGGCAGGGCAGGAGACTTGGGTTTGTCCTAGGAGAGGACCTACCGTCCGCAGCGTGCCCTCCTCGTGGAGGATGGGCCAGAGGACAAAGGTGGCCATGGTGCTTGCTGCCAGCGAGAAGTAGGTGTTGAGCACTGCCCAGGGCTCGGGGTTGTCACGGGCCGTGGTGGCTGAGGCGAAGCTGGGCCAGAAGATCCACAGGTAGATGGTTCCTGTGGGCAACAGGCAGGTTTTGATGTTGGGGTCGATCCCTTGTGGGAAGGAAACTTCTTGCTAGTGCCACGAGGTGCAAGTGGCCACGGCTTGTGGCCTCAGAGGGGTTCAGGTTGGACACGAGGAAAAGGTTTTTCCTGGAGAGGGTGGTGAGGCCCCAGGACAGGTCCCCAAGGAGGTGAAGGAACCTCTGTCCTTGATGGTTTGCAGGGCTCTGCTGGTCGAAGCCACAGCCACACTGTCCGAATGTTGGTGATGGTCCTTCCACCACCATGTCTATGACTCTGGTGTTACAGAATCATGGAATGGTTTGGGTTGGAAAAGCCCTTTAAGCTCCCCCCAGCCCAACCGTTCCCCTACCCCTGCCATCCCACCCCCAAACCCTGGCCCTCAGCACCGCCTCTGCCCGGCTGTTAAATCCCCCCAGGGCTGGGGATTCGACCACCTCCCTGGGCAGCCCCTTCCAGTGCCTGACAGCCCTTGTGGGGAAGGAATTGTTCCTAGTTGTTGTTCCTAGTGTTGTAGGATTCGGATTCCATACCAACCGCAGTGAAGCCATCTGGCTGGTGCCCCGTGTTCTGCTGCTCTTTGCTCTTGTCCATGTGGGGCTGGTGCAAGATCCGTGAAACCATCAACCCAAAATAAGCTCCGAAGGTGTGGACGGTCAAGGAGCCTCCGCTGTCGCTTACCTGGTGAGCCCAGAAAAACACCGTGTGGGAAGGAGGGGTGTGGGATTTGTCTCTACAGACAAGGTGGGTCTTGACAGGAGGAGCCTAAACCTATGGTCACCCCCTTTCTGGTGGCCCCCCAACCCGATTGGTGGCTCACCCCCATGAGGCTGTGCAGGATGTATTCGTTGAGAGTGAAGAGGGTGACCCCCAGCAGCGTCAGCAGCAGCATCTGGACGGGGTTCACTCTGCCCAGAACCGCGCCGGCGGAGATCAGAACGGCCGCGGTGCAGAAGTCGGCGCTGACCATGCTGGGAAGGAGAGGGAAGACGTGGGGCTGGGGCTGGACCCGGCGCTGCCGGGGGGGCGAGCGCGGGAGCTGGGGAGAGAAGGGTTGGGGGGGGAATGGACCTGCAGCCTGCATCCCACCACTCCTGCGAGCCGAACGGGCAGCCCGAGCCTTGCGATGTTGGTGACAAAGGGCGGGGGGGGGGCTGGGGGGCCCCCCTAAATGCCTGGCTGAAGCCCCAGGGGTACTTACACGGCCCTCACTAGTGCGGTACTCAAATAACCCTGGTCCTACTTGTCCTCATAATCCTCCTCCAAAGCAGAGCTGCGAGTTTTACAGAGGAGGGAGCCAGTGTGCCAGGGCTGGAACTGGGATGCCGGCGGCTGGGTGGCAGCAGCTCCCTCCTGCCTTACCTCTGAGCGCCCACGGAAATTTTGCTGTTGAGGAAAAAGTATAAAAAGCCCTGGATCAGTATGGTCCACTGGATGGCGAAGGCTGTGACGAGGATGCTGATGGCCATGCTGCCTGGCCCGTAGCGCCCGAGGAAGGCCACCAGGAGCCCGAAGCCAAGGAGAGCTTGGAGGTGGACATCTCGGAAACCTGGTGGAGAAGAGGCAGAAGGATGGGTCTGGAGGGGTCACGGGTGGGCAGCCCCCCTCCTGCCTGCCGGTCCCCCCCCATGGGGGCTCGGACACCCCCTGCTCTAACAGGTTTTGGGGAGTTGAAGGCTTCAGCTGATATAAATCAGCCTTGCTCCACCTATGTGTCTCCAGATCTGTGGTGGACTTGGCCTTGGATCTCCCTTGGAGATCTCCAGCGGAGATCACGAGCGGTTGTTGCTCGTCCTAGTGACAGGTAAAGCCGTCCCCTCCTGACATGGCCCCCGCCACCCTTTGCAGCGGCTCCCGGCCACCCCCTTTGCCACCTCAGTGTATGCACGTGGTTCACCCTGCAGCCCAGAAACCTCTCAGGGTGGCCAAGAGCCTCCTGCACCCATCACACCAGCACGAAGGTGGGTCTGAGATGTCAGCCACCCCACCGGGGGACCTCTCTGCTGCCCCCAAAATCATCCCGTCCCGCTGGGTGGGACAAGAGGACCGAAAGGGTGAGCAGAAAAATGGGACCGTTTGGTGATAAACCAGAGGAAATGGGGGACCGGCTTCTCACTTGGGCTAACTGCCCTTTGCACCCCCCGGCCGTGCCGAGAGCTGTGTCCCGTCCTTCCCCGTGTGCCGGAGCCGTGAGTCACCGCCTGCGCTGGGTGGGGTGAAACTGGGAGAACCTGCCGGCTGCCGGCCGGGCGCCTCGGCTGGGCTCAGCTCCCTCCCTCCCTCGGCCTGGGCGCTCTGGAGCCTCCTTTCCCATCGCCTGCCTTGGAAAAATCAGGATCAGCCCCTCACCCCCCAGCCCAGGATGAGTTTTGCAGCGATGCCCAGCGTGCGGGAGGATGCTCCCGGCATCCCCCGCCTTGGGGTGCTGTGGCAGCACCGAGGGAGCCGAATCCTCCGTGAAAGGGGCAACTCCCTCCGCACTGCGAAACCCAGCAGGGCGGGGGGGAAGCTTTGCAGACCCCAAAGTGCCGGGAGCCTGGGGACAGGAGGACAAGCCCGGGTTTATCACAGCACCGACCGATCCCCTCTGTGCTCCAGCTCCCCAAACGCATGTCCTAGAGCCAAATATCCCTGCTTTGGGCCCTGGCTTTGTCCAAGCACGTGGGAAATCCTTGTGGCACCTCTGCTTTGCACCCACCAACCCCTCCTTGGTGGGATGCAGGGGTACCCCAACCCTGCGGCTCGCCGTTCCCCCTCCTCTGTTTTACTCCGGAGTCTGATCCCAAGCTGGACGGTGTGATGGGTCAGCAGCCCGGACCCAGCATGGTGACATCCCGTGTCCCACCCTGAGTGGCACCTGGGGACTGGGTAGAGCCACAACCTGCACCCGCCCGGGGTGGGGGTACTCACGGGGGTGCTGCAAACCCGAGTCCTGGTTCCTCCAGCTGCAGTTGGGCTGCTGGGAGCAGAGCCCGGGGCCGCTCTCTGGGCTGTAGCGAACAAAAACGGCGAAGAGGAGGATGGTGAGGATTTGGAGGAGGAAGCACAGCCCGGAAAGCCGGAGCCTGGAGGCGGCGGTGTGCTCGGGCATGCTGCGGGGCAGCTGGAGCAGGGGAGCGCCCCGAAACCGGGCAGACACGAGGAGCAACCGCGCTGGGGCTGCAAACTCCGCCTGCCGGGGTGGCTGCCAGGTCCTGCCCTCGCCTCCGTGCTTCCCAAGGGCGGAAGAAGCCGGCCGAGAGCGGGACGGCGCTGCCAACACGGAAACCCCGTGGTTTTGCTGCATCGGGTGGCTTGGGCCGCTCTGCTGGGGCTTTCGGTGTCAGCGTCCATGGGTGCTGGAGGGGCAGGGTGGGATTTTTGGGGTGCTGGGGGGAGCCGTGGCCGGGGGACACCTGAGGTTTCAGCCTTTCTGGAGGTTGGGCATGGGGGGGAAGGTGATGGCTTTTGGGGATCAGGTCAGGTGGAGGAGGGCGATGCAGCGAGCACAGTGGGACTGACCCGCTGCAGAGGTGCTGGGGTCTGGCAAGCTT